TAACGGTATTGAAAGAGAAGATCAAAATTAGAGTTTTCACACTTCTTGATTTCAAATTTTACTACAAAGCTACAAGGAGAACAGTGTGGTGCTGGCATGAGGACAGACACATAGACCAATGAAATAGAATGGGGGTCCAGAAATAAACTAGTACATCTATGGCCAGTTGATTTCTGACAAGTGTTCCTAGCTCACTCAGTGGGAAAAGAATAGCTTGTTTAGCAAATGGTGGTAGGACAACTATTTCCACATGCACAAGAGTGAAGCTAACCCTTACCTCACACCATATATACAATTTTAATTGGATCAACAACCTAAATATGAGTTAAAACTATAACATTCTTAGAATACACATGGGGTACCTTTGGAATTTGCAGTGGATTCTTAGATGTGGTTCACCTTAAACTTCATGTTTATGAAATCACACAGCATCGGTTCCTTTGTGTCTGCCTTCCTTTCCTCACCTACTATATTTGGGATTCATCCAAGTTGTTCATGTGGTAGTTTATCTTGTTTTTCTGTCACCTAGTGTTCCATTTTATAAACATGGCCAAATTTCTTCTCTCTATATTCCTGTAGATGGATAGCTGGGTTATCTCCAGTGTTTAGGTAATATGAGTAAATTGGCAACAGATAATATGGTGCAAGTCTTTTGGTGAACACACACTTGTGTATCTTGGGCATATACTTAGAAGTAGAATATGTTGGCTATAGGGTGGGAGTAAATTTAACTTTGTTAGAAAATCCAAACAGCTTTCTAAACTGACTGTGTATTGTACATTCCCAGTGTCAGTGTATGAGACCTCTGACTGGCCCACATCCTTGCCCAGTCTGACAGCATCAGTCTTTTTCACTGTAGCTGTACTGATTATTGTGTAGTGACAGCTTCTTGAGGTTTTATTATTTGTAGGAGTTCTTTAGATATTCTGGATACATGTACTTTACTAGATACACAGATATTCTCTGCTAGACTATGGCTTTCTAAATTTAATATATCTTTTATTGGAAAAAGGTTTTTTGACACTTCAATTTATTATGTTTTTTCCCTTTATATGTAGGACCTTTTGTGTCATGTTTATGATGATCCGCCTCTTATAAGGCCATGAAGATAAGTCTTTTCATTTATTCTAGAAACATTATGAATTAAATTTTTACATTTATCTATAGGATCAATCACAGTTAATTTTTGGCATGTGATGTGAGAGAAAGATTAAGAACTACTTTTTTCCACATCAATACCCACTTGCTCCAGTACCAGTCACCTAGAAGCCCTTCTTTCCCCACTGAATTGTATTAGCACCTTTGTCAAACTCTGTGTGACCATGTGTGGGGGATACTACAAGCTTCTCACTCTGCCTTGGGGGCCTCCGTAGAACACAGCTGTGTGATGAGTCTGATGGGACACATCATCCACATGACTCTCTTCTTTAGGAACACACAGCACTCGGGGTCCTTGGCATTTCCATATGAATTTTAGACTCAGCTCTCCAGTTTCTACAATAAACCTGCCAAGATTTCAGATAACTGTTTTCCGAGGCTCTTGGCTATAAGCCAGGGGTGTCAAACTCATTTTCACCGGGGGCCACATCAGCCTCATGGTTGCCTTCAAAGGGCTGAAAGTAATTTTAGCACTGTGTAAATGTAACTACTCCTTAACAGTTAAGTGAGAACTCAGCACTGCTGCCAGGTAGAAACATGGTGATGGGCCAGATAAAACAAGGTGGAGGGCTGTGTTTGCCACCTGTGCTCTAAGACGTCCAGCACTTCTTTGCTACTTCTAAAAAGAGCCTTGAAAAATGCCACATTGAACATCTTTCGCAGCCTCTCCTGGAGGCCAAGAAACCTTTTGACATTTTGAACATCTCATACCTTTTAGCCCAATCAGGCAGCACTGTAACTAACTAGTCTTCAGTGATTTCCTGAGCTGCCCAAGCCGTACCACCATTCTTTTGGAGATCTGCACCTCTGAGTTCAGTCCCAGCCTCTCTGGGCACATCAGTGTGCTATGGGATGGCCTACTTAGGATTTTTAGAGTCCTTTTTTCCAGCATAGAACATCTACTAGGCAAAATCTTAATTCTTCAAGCTTTCAATGAAAGTGCTGACAGCCAAGCTCTTGACTGAGACCAAAGCAGTTTCATTTCCAACCCAGAGGACGCAACCTGTGGGCCCAGTCATACCCATGGTTTTCTGTGTTGCTGGCAATCTTGGGATGGCTTTTACATTTTCACATAGCCCATATAAAACTGTAAGAAGAAGAATATTTCATCAAATATGAAAATTGTATAAACTCCAAAGTTCCATGTCCATAAGTACATTTGCATTTGAACACAAGCATGCTCATTCATGTGAGTGCTGTCTGGCTGCACCGTGCTCCAGTGACCGAGTTTAACACCCTTACAGAGGTGGTCTGGCCTACAAAGCCTATGGTCATGGGTAGCCTGTGACAGGCAAGTTGGAGCACTGGACTCAGGCATCATTTGCTGTTGAGAATGTTTAAAACATGCAATAGCTGACTGTTTAGTCAGGGGCACTGACTTCTTTTCCCTTCAATTGTCAGATAAAAACATGACGACAGCCAACACAGCAATAGCCATTCAGTGTGAATGAACCAAAATTATACCTGTGTTTTTTGTCAGATTGGCAAAAAGTATATATTTTTTGTGTTGCAGGATTTTAATGATTAGTTTATGTGTGCCATGATATGAGAAAGGTTGAAGTCGGCACTCTAGCAGGCTTTGCCCATTTTTGAATCAAGTTGGTCTTTTTATTGTTGAATAGTTCTTCATATATTCTGGATATGAACTCCTGATCAGATATTAGCTGCAAATATTTTCTGCCATTATGTGTAGGGGGGTTGCCTTTATACCTACTAAATAGTGTCTTTTCCCATACATCTGGAATTTTTCGTGAAGTCCAGTTTGTCTTGTCTTCTTTTGTTGCCTGTGCCTTTGATGTCCTAATGAGGAGATCACCGCCAAGCCCAATGTTACTAAGCTTTTATCCTATCTATCTTTTAAAATCTATAGATACTTAACTTATGGCCTAACATACAGTTTGCCTGGGAAATGCCCCCATGCACATGAGATAACATAAGCGCTATTGTCCTTGGGTGGAGTGCTCTGCATGTATCCGCAGTACTGGCCAGTTAGCTGTGTTACTTAGGTCTCTGCCTCCTTCCTTGCCTTTGGTCTGCTTGTTCTTTCCATCACTGGGGTGAGGGGTATCAAAGTCTCCAGCTGTTAGTACGGAACTGACTACTTTCCCTTTGAGTGCCACTAGGTGAGTAAATGTCACACCACCCTGGCCACAGAGCCCTGTGCCTGTGGCAGCAATGGGAGCAGGCTGACCTCTGGTGTCACTGCTGTAGTTCTTGAGTCCAGAAGCTTTTCAGGAATATGAGCCTGATTTCTGCCCTTTCTCCAGAGGGATGCACCTGTCAAGGCCCTGGGTGCAAGAGTGTAATGATTTCCCCTCTGGTGGAAGGCTTCTGCTCTGTGTGGAAGAAGGGAAGCAAGCTGTGTTTTCTGGGTCCTCCAGTGGCAGCTGTCTGTCTCCTGAACACCTGCACCAAGGAACCCTCTCTCTGGTCCTTGCCCTGCACCCTATATTTCTCACGAGCTCCCACTGGATACCCAGGGAAAACCTACCCTGTGCGTAAACCTTTCTCCCCTGGTTTCCCATTTCCTGAGCTGGCACACTGCCAGCATTGAAAAACTCATGGAAATGATAGCCGACTTCTTCCCATCTATGTCTGTGCCTCATGGCTGCCTCTGTGCCCTGCCACAGGTGGAGCGGTGTGTTCTGCATTCATCATTGTGGCCCTCTGTCTGCCCACATCTGTGTGGCCTCAGTGTCCATGTGAACACAACAGGATGTTTCCCCCACCTCAACACTGTCTTCCCATAAGACTCTTCACTCTTGACTCATTGGAAGTCAGCCTCCTATCCCGACAGAGCCCCAGGCACTGGGCAGTCCCACCTGGCCACTGTCTGCTGTCACCATGGAAGCATGCCCTGTGCATGGGGCTTCTGGCCCAGCAGTGGACCACGGTCCACCGGGGTGCTGTATGCCACGCCCCCCCAGGGCTGTTTCTCTCTGGAGCACCCTCCTCCTGACATCTCTCCACCTTGTAGATTCCAGCTGCCTTGCCCCTTGCATGTCCCAGCCCAGAAAGTGCTCCCGGCAGGAGGAGTGCCCTTGGAGGCCTTGCCCGCCCCCCCCACCGCAACCCCAGCATTCTCAGTGGCATCGTGGAAGGCCTCAGGGACACTGGTAGCTGGCTGGATAGTTTCAAAGTAGTTTCCTAACCGCCCTTTCTTGGATGGCCTCTCCCAACCCTGCACCCCAAGTCTTCGGACTCTCTGTTGCTCTGCATTCCTATGTGCACCAGCCAGAGCCTGTGTCTTGTTCCCTGGTGTTAATTGACTACCTCACCAGCACAGCCAGAAGCCACCACAGACATTGCTGACATTCCATTTACTGTCTCTTCCCTGCAGGGTACATATGCATCAGCCCTCTTGGTCCCCTGGTCACAGGGTCCCAAGCCTATGAGAGTGTCTCCTTCCTGTCAGACTAGGGCCTTAGGACCCCCTCACACAGTGGTCAGGGAAGCTCATGGTTCCTGGGGCCAATTACTGTATCCATCAGCATAGAGGGGATACAGGGGTGACAGCCCACAAAACTTGAGGGTTCCTTTCTTGTGCACATACTGTCAGCCCCACAGTCACCCAGGGACAGAGCTGATGAAGCTGTTTGCACTCAAGCTACAGCAGTGGGAAGGGGATGGGCTCTTACATTTCTCTTAGAAAGTTCCATGTGGCGTTTCCAGTTCCACGTCATTGACCAAAACCTGAGACCCGGTGCAGGGAAGGGAAGCATGTGACGGCAGGAGCGAGAAAAGCCACTGGTGGAGCACACTGGGTTGGGGGTGGGGCTGGGTATGTCCTGAGGAACAGGACTGGGAGGCCCTGTCCCTGAAGCTGTGCTGCTTTCTGACAGGTGACTCCTCAGACCACCTGCAGGAGGTACAGGTGCCTCTGATCCCGTTGATCCTGTGCCAACTGCTCTATGGACAACCATCACTAATTCAGCCAGACATGATGTGTGCCGGGGACCTCATGAACATGAAGACTGTGTGTGAGGTGCATCCCACTGCAGGGACAGGCCCCAAGCCCATGGCTTTCAACTGTTAATCTGCTTGGAGCCATTGGGAACACTTGTTCTGAGTGGGTGGTCCCTGAAGGCCTGGCCCTTTCGGGGCTTGGAGCATATCACCATGTAGCCACGGGCTGGGTAGAACCATAAGGTGGCCTAGGTGTACATGGGACACAGGCTCAGTCAGTGCCCAGTGCCCTGTGGACCCCAGTGCTGACCAGAGCAACCCAGGGCTATGCACCCACCTGGGGACCTTGCCTGCCACCTGTCGTCCTGGAGCACCTGCTCTGTCTCTCACAGCAGGACATGGCACTGGCAAGGTGTGGCTGTGGAGTGAAGGGGCTCTGGCCCTGGTTCTGCAGCGTTGGGCTCTGGGCCATCCTCCTGCAGGAGGCAGCAGGTGCCAGTCACCAGGTTCACAGGAAATCCCTCTTTCCTTCCAGGGTGACTCTGGGGGCCCACTCGTCTGTGAACTCAACCGTATCTGGGTGCAAATTGGAATAGTGAGCTGGGGCCGTGGCTGCTTGTTCCCCATGTATCCTACAGTATATGCCCGAGTCTCCCATTTCTCAACATGGATCCACCATCAGATAGCACATACACCCCCACCTCTTCAGCCATTCTCCATACTCTCCTGCACTTTGGGGACCTCTGTCAGTGTCCTTGTGGCCATGATGGCCTTCCTGCCAATGTTGTGAGTACAAGGCCCCTACCCTGGCTTCCTCATGCTGCATGCCACTGTCTCTACCCAGCTCAGCCCCTCAGGTCTCTGGATACCTGAGTGAGATGAGGGCTGCCAGCCAGGCCAATTCTGGGTCAGGGAGGGGCTGAGCAAGGGCCATACCTGAGAGGCAGACCTAGTTACCACAGAAGGGCCAGGTGCCCAGGGAGAGCAAGGTGCCTTGGCTGAGTGCTGTGGCACCTAAGGTTCAGTGAGATATTAAATATTTAAAATGCGAGCATCCTAGAAGTCCTGTGTCTTTGTTTCCACCTGGAATGCTGGCTCCCTCATGCAGACAGAGCGGCACTGTCAGGATGCCAGGTGGCAGGGAAGATGAGAAGTACAAAGCAGGCGCAGTGTCTCTGGAAAGAAAGGATGGCCACACTGACACATGCCTGGGTCTTGAGTCCAGCTCCCAGGGAAAGGCACCATTTTAAATATAACTATTGGTGTCACAGTATGTTAAATACTTAAAATTCCAGTTTGAAAATTGGAAATGTGAGCTGAGAGCAAGCACATTGAAGGAGCTGAGTAAAAGCAGGAATCAGTTAACCAAATACCAGAAAACACTAAGACTGACATTTTAAAAATCAACAAGTAGGAAAAGAAATCACTAACCATATTTTTTAGACCATAAGATGCACCTAGGTTTTAGAGGAGAAAAATAGGGAAAAAATTTGAAGCAAAAAATGTGGTAAAATATTTAATAACATAAATAACAATATTTTACCAATGTAAATGTAAATGGAACTCAACAGCAGCATTAACAACCATTATTCCTCCCAAATTTGGGGGGGGGGTGCATCTTATAGCCTGAAAATGTGGTAATCAAGATATAAAATGAGACCGAAAATACCTAAAACAAGAAATAGCAGGAGGGAAATAGCCATTAAACACAAATTTTAAAAAATCATAAGAGATATTGTACAACTCTACAAAAAAGAATTTGAAGTGAAAAGTATCACTTTGTAGGAAAAATATAATTTGCTGCTGCTAACCCTAGTAAAGCTAGAAGGTTTAACTAGACCAAATTTCGTGGAAGAAATGGAGAAATTTAAGAAAGAGCTTCCCTGTCCCAGTAAAAGGTCTTGGCTGAGGTGGTTTCCCTGGGAATCACACCAAACCTCCCACTGCAGGGTCATCCAGTGCTGTCCCACTGCTCCAACGTGGACGGGGAGGAGCATGAGCATCCAGATGTGCCTTGGCAGCACATGGCTATAAGGACATAAATCTGATCACACAGAAAGAGAAGGCTGAGACAGTCCAACTTATGAATTCAAAGACCCTAGTGAGAGTTTCGCAAACAGAACCCAACTTTATTTTTTAAATAGTACATTGTAATCAGGTAGGATTTATCCCAGTGATGCAAGGATGATTAAATATTAGGAAACTGACTGATATAGTTCACCAAATCTTTGCTTTGTTAAAGATAGTAATATTAATGAAGTCTTTTAAGAAATTCAAAACTCATTTCCAATTTAAAAAAAGAGATAGAAGTCAATGGGTATTGAGATATATGTACTGCAGCCTGAAAGCTAGCTTTTCCTAGTGGGTAACACTGAGTTTATTCCTGCTAACATCAGGTTCAAGTCAGGCTGCCTCTTTCTGTCCTGCTCCTTCCCACAGGAGATAAGCCACTACAGCTTTACAAGAGAACCATCCAGGGAAATGGAAATCAGCCATTGAAACTGTCTTGTAAACAACACTTAGAGCATATCCAGAATCCCCAAGAGAAAAATGTGAAACTGCCACAAATAGTAAGAAAATTGAGTAGTCACAAAATAAAACATGACACAATCACTCTATTCCAGTTAAAAGGCATACATCTGAAGAGAAGACACCAATTATAATAGCAACAAAAAAGATAAGGTACCTATGGCCTTAAAAAGAGATGTGAAAATATAGGAAATTTTTAAAATATTCATGGGGAAAAAAGCATTGAGTGAATGATAAGAGAGCTTATATTCTTGAATAGATCAGGTCAAAATGTGTTTTGTTTCCCTGGATCTAGATAAATTGATTTCAAAGTTTATATCAAAACACAAGAAAACCCAGGAGTAAAACTAAATGTGGTGGGAAATAATCCAACAGAGATTCAAAACTCCCATAAAGATTCTATAATTGCAACAGGCCACAAGGACTGGACAAGTTGTGTCTGTGCAGACACAGCAGTAGGTAAAACCCTAGAACTTGGCCCAAGTACATATGGAAAGTTTGTGGACAATAACTGTATCCATTTAAATCAGTAGTGTAGACCTGGCCTGTCGGTTCAGTTGGTTAGAGCCTGCTCCTGAAACAGCAAGGTTGTGGGTTCATCCTGGTCCAGGGCATGCAAGAAGCAACTAATGAACACATCAGTAAGCATAACAACAAAACTGTGTCTCTCTTTGCGGTTCTCATCAGTCAATCAATCAATAAATCAGAAGTGCAATTTAGCATGGTCAAACAGAGTTAGACCCAGAAGCAGTATTCACTGTGACTAAAACTTTATTGAACCCCATTCAGTACTGCAAAACATGACTGAAGTCACCCACGCACGGAGCTGTGACCAGCAGTAGCACATCTGGAGTGAAGGCCCTGGAGTGGTGTGCTGGCACAAGCAGGTGCTTTAAACAGCAATCAGACCAACTTTAATGCATTTGGTGTCTTCACCCTTCCTTCCCAGCCTGGTTCAGCCAGCTAAGGGGAAGTCAGTGTGGCATGTGTCTTCCTTCCTCACTCATGTTGCGGTGATGCATCCTCAGCCAGCAGGTGAAGAACTGCTGGGTGTGCAGGGCACAGAGCACAAAGCCAAGAGGCGCGGGGCAACATGGGGTGCCACCACCTTGAGCCAGGGGCAAGTCCGCAGGCGAGGGTTTTGTCCTCAATTTGCAGGTCAAGACGGGGCCCTCTGCTACCAGCAGCACTGCGGGCCATGCCGCGTGTGCTCATGAGTGTCCTTGCGGGGATGGAGTCACGTGGCAGACTGCACAGGCAGAAGAGTGTCAGAGTGCTGACCGTCTGGACCGGTCGCGCCATGAAAACCTGCGGCCTTCCTAGCCCAGCTAGCTGCCCAGCTCCGCCCCGTGGGTCTGCCAGCTCCTGCGGACACACCTTGCAGAATTTCTGCACGGACAGCCAGCCGATTCGGGGAAAGACTAGTGAAGTAGACCCACACCGGGTAGTGAGACTGGAGCAGCAGTTCATGGAAGGAAGCAGCGACTTGGAGCACATGTGAACTGTTCCAGTGGGTGCCTTGACGTCAGGTTCATCTGTACATTTTTTCAGTTTTACTGATCACACTAAAATTCAGATAATATTGATAACAGCCAGGGAGTAGCCTCCTCAAACAACCAATACAAAGAAGCCAAAAATGTAAACTGGGAAAAAAAACTTCGAAGAGACAAAACCTGTCATTATATCACAATGGAAACTAACCCTCTGTTGGTAAAGCCATGGGGAAAATCAGGGCAGTTTGTCAGGAGAACGACAGAGAGGTGCAAATGACAGCAGAAGGGCTGAGGCAGGTGTGAGGTCAGGACACTCCATGGAGGAGACCAAGGGCCACCAGGAATGTATGCAGGTTGCCCCGATGGTGTTGTCCACCTTTGTGAGTTTATGCTCTTCCACTGTGACTGTTAACTGTGAACGAGTTTATCAGATGCAATTCCAGTAATTATCTGGAGAATCAAACAGAACGTTCCTTGAGAAGCTTCTCCAAAAGATGTTTAAAAATTGTTTAAGTACTCAAACTTTAAGATGCCTTGGTTGCATTCTCCAAAATTAAAGTTTTTCACTTACTGTTTTGTTTAAACTATTTTTATGGTGGTAAATATATATAACAAAATTTACCATTCCAATCATTTTGAAGTATACACTTAGTTCTGTGGCGTTAAGTACATTCACATTGCTATGCAGCTGTCGCTGCTATTCCAGAGCATTTTCTTCTTCCCAAGCTGAAACTCTGTGCCTACTAAACATTCAGTCATGTTCCCTCCTCCCTCAGGCCCCTGTATTCCACCTCCTGTCTCTATGAATCTGATTCCTCTACAAGCCTCATAGAAGGGGATAATGCAACATTCATCCTATGGTGACTGGCATATTTTACTCAGCATGATTTGAAAGTTCATCCGTGTTGTATCAGAATGTACTTCTTTTTTCAGAGTGAATAATGTTTTATTATATGCACATGCTCATTTCATTATTCATTTACCCATTGATGGATTTGTGAGTTGTTTCCACCTTTTGTCAGTTGTGGATATGCTACTGTGTACATTTGTGTAAAGTATATGCTTCATCGTACCTCCTTTCAATTCTTTTACATCTCTACCCAGAAGTAGAATTACTGGACAAATGGGAATTCTGTATTTAATTTTTGAAAAAACACCAAACTGTTTTGATGCAGCTGCACCAATTTATATTCTCAACAGCAAAGCACATGGGGTCCAGTTTCTCTATATCATTACCAACATTTGCCTGGTTATTCTTGTTTTATTTATTTATTTTTTATTGTTGTTCATGTACAGTCATCTCCATTTTCCTGCCACCACTTCCTCCTGCACCTTCCCACCTCAGTCCTTTCCCCGCTTTGGCTTTGTCGGTGAGTTCTTTATATATGCTCCTTGATGACCCTTTCCTTTCTTTCCCCCATTACTCCCCTCCCCACTCCCCTCTGGTTACTGTCAGTTTGTTCTTTTATTTCAATGTCTCTGGTTATATTTTACTTTCTTATTTGTTTTGTTGATTAGGTTCCACTTAAAGGTGAGACCATATGGTATTTGTTTTTCACTTTCTGGCTTATTTCACTTAGTAAATGCTCTCCAGCTCCATCCATGCCGTCACAAAGGGTAGGAGCTCCTTCTTTCTTTCTACTCTGTTGTATGCCATCTTGTAAGTGTACCACAGTTTTTTAATGCAGTCATTTACTGATGGGCACCTAAGTTGCTTCCAGAGCTTGGCTATTGTAAATTGTGCTGCTATGAACATTGGGGTGCAAAG